CCCCATGTCCTCATAATCGCCATAGCATCTATCACGCTATTTATTAATAGATGAGGTATTGAAAATCCTCAGATTGTAGATGTTGCTACTCCAACCATTTACATATCGCGTCTCGTCACTCGTTCGTCCTCCGTGTTGACCTTTGATGTTCAGCTGTCTGAAGGACTTGCTGTTCCTTGCTTCACAGGGTGAGGCAACTTGTGCTAATGTGTCAATATGTGTGTGTAATTCATTCATAGGTGAGGAGCATTACAACTGTATCTCAGCGTTGCATAAGTCCATGAGAGGCTCCCATGAGAATGCCTCCCTCTACTGGCTGGGCCGCATGCTGGAGGGCGGTGAGGACCCGCTCTACGTGGCCCGCAGGCTGGTCCGCTTCGCCAGCGAGGATGTAGGTAGGTCATTTTATTTATAGCATTATCTTCAACCAGCCCCTTCCATTGGTTTGCCCGTCCATCCTTTTGTTCATATTTACCTGTTTGCCCAAGTGGCCATTTGCCTTTTTGTCCATCCATCATCCACCTTTTGAGTCTTTGTCACTTTTCTTTAATTCACAAGCAGCCTGTTTGTCTGTCGTTAGATTTTCCTGATTCCATATATTCAAAATGTATATGGAATCAGGAACTAGTTGCTGTAAATTCACCATAAAATTTAGTTTAGAAACAAAACGGCTAAAAAGGGTGAGATCTCTGGAAAAATGAATTTGGAAAAGTACAGAAACATATGTAGAAAAAGTACAGGAATCCCTCCAAAGTGCTTTTCCACAGTTTGTTATCCCTCAATACCTAATCTCTTTTAATTATTCATTTTATTAACATCAATACTCTTAATATTTGGTTTGTGTGTTTTTTTTTTAAATGCCTCTATTTCTACTCTTTGGATTTTTGAAACGAGCTCTGTTAATAAAATGAGATTGATTTCGACATGTCTCCCTGCTTTTTATCCTCCAGGTTTGGCCGACCCCTCCGCTCTCACTCAGGCTGTGTCCGCCTTTCAGGCCTGTCACTTCATTGGTATGCCTGAATGTGAGGTAGGCATGCCTTACCGTCATAGATTGTTTTGCAATTCTCCGCCATCCCTACAAAGATTGTGTTTATCATTTTCTTTCAGGTGATCCTTGCTCAGTGTGCTGTCTACCTGGCACGAGCTCCCAAGTCTATAGAGATCTATAAGGCCTATGGCAATGTAAAAGCATGTCTGAGAAATCACAAAGGTCCCCTTCCTCCTGTCCCCCTGCACCTACGCAACGCACCCACCAGGCTGATGAAACAGCTGGGCTATGCTAAAGGCTACAAGTACAACCCGGAATGTAGCGGCCCGGTGGAGCAGGAGTACCTGCCTGAGGAGCTCCGGGGTGCCGACTTCTTCACCTGGACACCATCAGACCGTTGAGTGTTTAAGCTACTCAGCATATTGTGAAGCTAAAAACCAAATCTACACAGCTTTGTTCTTCAAGAGCTGGTTTGCAGCCATTTAAAAGATCCCCTGAAAGTTTAAGGATTTGTTTTCCTCTAACCTGATTATTTCAAAAAATAGTTAAGTCAGACTATATTCTCAAATGAAGCCACATTTTTCTGTTATTACTCCATTTCTCTGTACTCAAGAAATTGAGTGATACCACCCTCAAAGGGTTTACAGATTATGCTTTTATGTGTTCTTATCTAGTTTTTCACCAATGTTTAATGATAAGAATTAATACTGCAATTTAATGGATATTATATATCTTGTGTAATAAGTTTTCAGTGACGAACACAGTCAAATAAAAAGTTAATCAAACTGTTTATTGCTTTGTATTGCACCACTGTTGAAAGTTTCCTCAGTTTTGGGCCATTGTCTGTAAGAAAATGCAACATGATTAAATGCATAACTGCAAAAGTAAAATAATTTTCTTTTTTGGCTTTGTGTCACTCTTAAATATTAACAGACAAAAACAATCTCAGCATAACAGAGAGTTACCATTTTTAAATGATAACTTCAAAATTTAAGGTAAAAAAACAAAACATCATCCTGATCATATGTGAAAATAACATTATGCTCTTTCTTAATTCATTCATGAGCTTTGATTATCTACTGTGGTTCAGTTTTATTAGCCATCCTCAGACCTGCAATCTTTTATCAAACCACAAATTCTGCTCACTGGCTTAAATTCAATCAGTCTTGGGTTATGCAGCAGAATGACAATTTGAAGAGTTCATGTTCAAAACCTTCCAATATGGCTGAACTAAAATGCTTCTAGCATCGAGTGGGCCAAAGTTCCTACCCAGCACTGTAAAAGATTACCTGCCAGTTACCTCCATCACTTTATGGCAGCAATTATTACCATTACAGGTTGACACGACCAGTTAGTAGGATTGAATAGCCTTGAAGCTTTAAATTGTATTTGTCTTTTATACTAAAATTTGATTATTTAAATTAAGTAAGGAAACAAAACAATGAAGACATCAGGAAAGGGACAAATCCTCTTTTTCACAGCCCTGTATCTACACTTTACTTTGTATGAACCCTAAAGTCAGATAAGTTTTAGTATGTGAATTGATTCCCTCACCTCGCTGATCCACGGGATGGTGGTTACATGAGCTGTGTTACATGAGCACAACATTAAATTCTCTGGATGGTTCTCACATGGCATGCCGTTTTGCTGTCTCCTCCTGCACAAACCATTGTCGTCATTGCTGAGCTACCCCACCAGTTGCTTTGACTGCAGACACTGTGATCCACCACAGGAAGCAGCGCCTGCTGCAGTCTTGTTGCCCGGGGTCCACCGGCTGCAGAGAAAGTGACTCCCTCGGTGTAAACATTGACAACATGAATTGTGCTCCAAAAAAAAAAAAAAAAAAAAAAAAAAACCAGGGGATTAAAACCATTTCATATTTTAAACAGTCCGAGTGAACCACAGATCTTACAGTAAAGTCGACCTCAGCCTGTGATGTAACAGGGCTGGTTGTGGGTCAGAGTGGAGCTGTGCTCTGGCAGGCAGGCAGGCTTAACTTTGTCACTGAGGGAAGCACTTTTCTCCAGTTTGAGCAGGGCAATGTCGTTCCTGTCAGAACGAGAACAAAACTATTTAAATTTCTCATTTTTGTGGGTTCCATCACAGGCTAGAAAAGCTTTAGTTGTACTGACATTTCAACGTGTCTTCTGCAAATTACAGCTCTGGTGAATTACGTCGTTATTCATTACTGAGGTGATTTCTTAAATCCAACCAGATATGCTTATAACCATGAGTTCTCTGGGTACTACTGAAAAACATGTCATTGATTCTTGGTAATTTTCCTAAAGTTCTTCAGAAATAATAATTCCTCCAAACTTTGTATTGTTAAAACATACCCGCAAGACACACAGTTATCATTCCATTTGGGATGAATGAACATTTTTGCCACCATGATGGACTGTTCAGGTCCCTCTTCCTTGTCCATGTCATGCTCAGCAAGAACCACTCTGTATGTGTGGAGTCTGGATTGGAAACAAAAATGTTGTACATATTTCCCAAAGTAGATCAGAAAGCTCCCTGTTTTATGTAGAGGATATACTTTCACAAAGTCAAAAAGTAACCTCCTTCACGAGGGGTGCTCTTGAAATTGGATATACATAAACTGCTGCATATTTTGTTTATTTCACTATTTGGAAAATTAAAAAAAAAACAGAAAATTGACACAACATTTCAAAATAGCCAGTAAACTCAGGCAAATGCCCACAAAAAAAAAAAAAAAAACTCACGTAATACAGTGTGCAGCTGTCAAGACCCAGTCTGGAGCAATAAGTGTTCCTCCACAGGTGGGTTAAAAAGACCCCAACGAAACCTAAAGGGTTAAATAAAATGAAATCAATTATGCTAATATGCGTAGCACATTTCTATTACAGATGACGACAGCTCTGGTACAATCCGTGTCTAAACACAGTATGCCCAAACAGAATGGGTTAAAGATTATTAAGTACAAAAATCATATTAATGAGTAGAAAAAGAAACAATTCATTTTTGCACATTACTTTTGTGTGTGTCATGATTTCCCCCCCACCCACTCTTCACTCACTCACCTGCCACGGCCAGCTGTACAAACGAGCCTCTTCCCCATTTACTACTCGACTGGTGTTGGGCCAGTAACTGGGCACGCCACACCCAGACACTGAAGCAGTGAGAGGCAAATTAAGGCAAGGTTTAAAATGGTACCCTAAGTGAAGGTTAAATCCCATTTTGACCCAATTCAAGACTAATAGCTAGCTTCACACACATTTTTTGAATCAGAATGATCACATTTTAACTTTGACATTACCAGATGTGACAGCCATCAGGAAAACAAGTCCCAGTTCCATCTCTGTCTTGTTCCTTCAAAGAAAAGTGACTTATCAAGCAGCACTGTTCATGGGAATGAATCCAGACAAGACCACACAAACCCACCCTGGGAGTTTTCCTTCTAATCTGCAGGTGGCTGGACTAATGTGTACCATTAAACTGCATACACTATAAGCAGCTTAACACTTATGTTTTCAAAGCTTAGATATTTGGGGTTTTCCTTAATCTTACACTATTATGTGGTTTTAGTGACTGACCATTTAGAAGTTTGCAAGACCCTGTAATAAAAATATGAAGAAAGTATAAGTTTAATGTTTAAATTGTCCTTCATGTATACAAACTGCAATATTTTATTTAAAAAATGTTATTTTCACCTGCAATATATATATCCCCATCTTGTTCTTAGAAAAATTTAAATTTCCAAAGCTTAACACTAAACTGCTGCTCCAGTAGTGCCACTCTTCACTCTTATGGAGTGAAGAGTGCCAAATGACAATAAATAACTTCTGAATAATAATTCTCATTAATCTTGACCTTTGACCGCTGGAGATTGGCACCAACACCCCTGGCGACCTCAATATAGGGATACGTGTGTTAGAAAATGGACGGACAATATCTGAGTTAAAAGTGCGAAGGAACCGAAGTGTGTAAATCAGTTTTACATCCACCCAGAAGAGGGCGCCACAAACAGCTTACCCCCCTTTCGTCACCCCAAAGAAACAGAAGAAGAAGTTGTTGTTTAAAGATGGCGCTACACGGTGCCTTACTCGTGAGGCTAAAAGAGCTTTGCAAAGTGGCCAAATGTGCTCATACAGCAGGAAAAACGGCATTTAACTGGAGCGGAGAAATGCGGTGGTATGGGACAAAAGCGCAGAAGTTTCACGAGCGCAGCGCCTCATGTTTCAACAGTAAACGAGGTGAGTAAAAAAAAAATGCCGGTTAGCTAATAGCTGACTGTCGCAGCAGCATCTAACCTCAAGGACATCCAGCATAAAAAAAATGTGATAAAAATCATTCCGCTTCCAGTTTTCAGATCATATTTCAACGTGTGTTGGTTCGGTTAGAGTGCCGAAAAACAGCGTTAACGTTTCTCTGTGTCTGGTCATTGTTTTTAATTCTTCGGCAATGGTATTCCAGATCTTCTGGAGGAGTTTCCAGATCCTAAAAACCTCCTCAACAACACCATTTCCCGGTCACTAGGAGTGAATGATCTGTCCCAGCTCATCCAGTACACCTGTACAGAACATGATGGTGTCAAGGTCAGCTGGAATCCTCTCGACTTCACCCATCCTCCTGACATGTAGAGGTTTTGTGTTTGACACAATTGTATTTTGTAACCATGCTCCTGCAGAAGGCCACTGTCACGCTGCTGTGGCCCAACAAGATTAGAGAAGAGGGTTATGCTTCCAAGAAAATTGATGCAGAGCGATTTGCGGCGGCTGCAGCCTGCCTCAGACTCAGGGTAAGCTGCTGTAAAGAAACAAGAGGAGCTGCACAGTGACTTGCTGAAGCATTTGTACGACTAGATTGTTCACATCTTCTCACTTTACAACTCCAAACCTCAGTGTATGTTATTGGGTTTTAGTGTGATTGATCAACACGACGTGAAACATACTTATGAAGTGGAAGTAGAATAATACAAAGTTTTTTTTTTTTTTTAATCCAAAAGTCTGCAATAGGTGCTTTGCTCATGTTTTCAGATCCTCTGAGTCTGTGCAATTTTTGCTGCACTTAGATCTGCATTTTTTCCCCTCTTTTTTAGTTTTATAAAAACAGCTGTTTTTATACTAAGATTAAAATATACACAGGCAAACTAAATTTTAATTGGGCATCTGTTGAAGGCAATCGGTTGCTGAATAAAAGTGGTAATTGTGATTATTGTTTTTTACCAAAGGAATTGGGTGTGATTGGTCCTAACAATCAGCTCCCAAAGAGGAGAGCTGGCCGGGTGAGAGGAGGGCTACATTCCCATCTTTATGATCCTGAAGAGGACTGTCTGACAAACGCTCCCACCTCCAGAGCTGATGAATTGTTGCCTCCGGTGGAAGATGCCTCCTATGTCTCTGAAGCTCTTTCTCTGTTTCCACAACCTAAATCTCTTCTGACCAGAGTGATCCAGGTGGCCACTTCAACCAGCAGAGTCAGGGTTGGTCAAAGTTTTTTTTTTTTTATTATTATTATTTCTACATTCTGAGCCTATCATTTCTATCCTCTTTATATCTGAATGTTTTTTGTTTTTTTTTCCTACAGGAGATGATGCATTTCAGAACAGCAGGTGGAAAACTAAAAAAGTGCGAGCTGACTCTACTTTGGCCGGAGAACATGATGTTCAGAGCGACGGCGGGCAGCCGAGTGATGGCAGAGAAAAAGGCTGCAGCACTTGCCTGCATGAAGCTGAAGGTGGGAGGAGATCTAGTGAATTGATGTCCATTTAGCTGCAAGTCATAATTGTGCTAAAATATTTCTCATGCTTTTGGTGCAGGAGCTTGCTCTTCTAGATAAAGACAACAATCCACTTACTCATGCAAAGTATCATCGAGAAAAGGTAAAGGAGGCTGGCGAGAGAGAGAGACGTCCATTCCCACTAGAGATTCCAGAATATTTGGAGCAACGCATGAGGGACTACCTAACACGGGTCGGTTCTTTTTCCACATGTCTTGCTTATTTAGATTCATGAATTAAGAAGGCCGAATGTGTGGGCAGTAGCCATGCTGACTAACCTAAGCATTCACAACAGGGTGAGGTGTGGGGAACTAGTTGTAGCCTAGAAGAGGGCAAGAGAGGGACACGGGCAAGCGTGTACATGAGCATGATTGACAACACTAAGACCCTCCTTCTCTCTGATTGGTCATTCCTGATCTGAGTGGTGTATTTCTGCAGATGGAAGTAGGATCCCAGGGAGAAAGCAGGAGAGCATATCTTCCTTTTTTTTTTTTTTTTGTCTCCACAGATCATCTGTCTCATATTATACTGTCAGGACATAATATGGAAATACAACACATTGGTTATGAAAGCTGCATGCTGCGGCTCTAATCATTAATGCTGAGTCATCTTCCTCACAGTACCCGGTTGCAACAGAAGTACAGCAACTATGGGAGGAGGAAGAGGCAAGAGGACAACAGACGGTGAACGAGGAGGAAGAGGATGAAGAAGACTATGTTGCGGACGCCATCACCGGCAGGCCATACAGGCCGATGTCCGAACATCAAGCTCAGTGCCTCAGTCGCCACCTACAGGAGGCATGGGAAAGGGCAAACCCTGGACTCAGCGTGGAGCTGCCCGTCGACGCTCACCGACAGCGTGTGGTCTCAGCCGTGCGCTCCTCCAGGGCGGTTGTGATCGCCGGCGAGACGGGATGTGGCAAGACGACGCGGATCCCGCGCTTCCTGCTGGAGGAACAAGTGAGAGACGGGGAGGGCGCAGACTGCAACGTCCTCGTCACACAGCCTCGTCGGATCAGTGCCGTGTCTGTAGCTCATCGAGTCGCTCACGAGATGGGGCCACGTCTGAAACACCATGTCGGATATCAGGTAATGGTTAATTCTTAAGTGTTTTTGACTTTCTTAATAAATTTGTCTTTTTCAAAATTTGTTACAGAAAATTATGTAATTTGGGACCGAGTAATACTTTAAGTTCTCACAATAATTTCTTAAACATTTTATACCTCTTTACACTTATTCTAACCCTTCACAGTTATGTAGTTTTTGTAATGTCATACAAACCAAATGTTAGTTGTAACATCATACAAAGTGAACAAAGTTCATAGAATATAAATGACAGGCAGAAATTGCTGTAGGGAGAGGAAACTAGTATCCTATTCAACGTTGACGCTATAATTCCTCTGTGCGTAGGTGAGACTTGAGAGCCGCCCTCCTGAGAACAGCGGGGGGTCCATGCTCTTCCTCACTGTGGGCGTCCTACTGAAGAAGCTGCAGTCCAACCCAACCCTGACAGGAATCAGTCATGTCGTCGTGGACGAGGTCCACGAGCGAGATGTAAACACAGACCTGCTGCTGGCGTTGCTGCGCTCGAGCTTGGACGAGAACCCCGACTTGCGAGTTGTTCTCATGAGCGCCACCGGGGACAACCAGAGGCTGGCGGAGTACTTCGGAGGCTGCCCTATCGTAAAGGTCCCGGGGTTCATGCACCCTGTGAAGGACAGATACCTGGAGGATGTGATGCAGGAGATGGGACGCTCGGCTAAGTTCCAAAACAGGGTGGAGTTAAGCAAGGTGAAATTTTGTAGATCTGTTAGCTTTACGTTTAGATTTATTTATTTATTTTTTTTTTTTTAATCTTTTTCTTTAAAATGTTAATCTGATTTCGTTTGAGGAGGGGTCGGACGAGGCCGCACCAGATCTGGACTTAGTAGCTGACGTAATTGAGCACATCGACAGACATGGAGAGCCAGGTAACTAATGCATCCTCTCATGCAGTAATTCTGTTTTGTGTTTCATATCTTTTCTTCACAGACATATCTTTACATTGTTTCCCTTCCTTCTGCAGGTGCGGTGCTGTGTTTCCTCCCTGGGTGGCAGGACATCAAGATAGTTCAACAAAAACTGGAGGAGAAACCACACTTTTCACCAGGCTCACAAATGATCGTGCCATGTAAGACTGAACACATTGATGGACAAGTTTTGTTGTCTGGGGGGTTATTGGTAACTTTGAGATGGCTTTTCTAATTTATTTTTATTTATTCTTTTATTTATTTATTTTTGGTAGTGCACTCAAGCTTATCAGTAGCTGACCAGCAGGTGGTGTTCCAGCGCCCCCAAGCCGGACAGAGGAAGATTGTACTCACCACCAACATAGCGGAAACCTCCATTACAATAGACGATATAGTTCATGTGGTGGATACAGGAACTCATAAGGAACAGAATTATGACCAGCGGACAAAGGTTTTTTTTTTTAAATGCGTTTAACTTCTGTTTCATGTTGGAATCTGAGATCAAAACCATTTTTCTTGACAACACTAAACTAATATTTTTCTGCAGGTTTCTTGTCTGGACACAGTTTGGATATCTCGCTCTAACGTCACACAAAGAAAAGGGAGAGCAGGACGTTGTCAGCCGGGGCAGGCGTACCACCTGTTCCCAAGGAAACAGCTGGAGACCATGACACCCTTTCCTGTTCCTGAAATCCTGCGCACACCACTGGAGAGTTTAGTATTGCAGGCTAAAATCCACAGTCCGAACTGCAAGGTACTTTAGATGTTTCTTTGCTATCTTTTTACCTTTTTTTTTTTTTTTT